ATAATCATCAACATTGATTTCAATAATAACTTTTATACATATGTTTGGCTTTGATTCAAGAAGTTTTTTAAAAGATTTTCCTTGTCCTGATATTTTTTTGTGATCGAATTAGATAAGATTCCTTTGTACATTCTTGTTGAGGGGATCCACAAAAATAAGTGGTAAGATTTATCATTAGAGAAGAAGGCGAATTAATTCATTTTCTTCGACTGTGGAAGGAGCACACTCCTGGAGTAGTTAGGAGTGTCATAGACCCTTTTCTTTTGAGGGTGGTCTGCCCCTAATTTATCCTGTAAAAATTCACAAGTTAGAAAGTCATAAAGAGAGTTTATTTCTTCTTTAATTTATTCAATCTCAAAATAAAAAATTAAGAGATGTGCTTGCAAAGTCATAAAAATTTGTTTGACCCCAAAATTTTTAATAATTTTGAAAATGATGGATTTATCTGCTTTATAATTTATCCGTAATAAAATTTCGTAGTTAATAAATTATCTTAAAACATGGAAATGAATTTAACAATAGCGAGCATTTCTATTTTAACGATGGAGTACTTCAATTGTGTTATATTTCATCTACATTAGGTAAAATGAATAACTTCTTTCTTAAAAGTGGTTAAGTTTCATTATTTAAGTATTCTGCTATATCCTAGATTGTACAAGTTATCAACTTTAACAATTTTGAAATTATTTGGATTAACGTGATTGATACAAGAGAAATTTTTTGCTATGATTTGAAGTTTTTTTATTGCACGTGTATAGTCAATCATAGTATGGTATTTTTCTCGAGCTTATCAAAAAATGGAACAAATTCTTGAACTAAATTTTGATAAATATCTGTTACATAATTAAGGGCTCTTAAAAATCTTTGTTTTTTTATTTTTGTTGGTATTTTGGTTGAAAATTTGTCTACGAAATCCAAATTGATTATGAGAAATCTTTGTAATATGTCTTAACCTATGTTCAATTACCCTCTCCCATAACTTTAAAGTATGACACATCAACTTAATTCCTCTATAATTTGCACTCTCTTGTGCATCGAAATGGGGAATTCTTAGAAATGGGGACCAAATTACTATTCATCCACTCCTCAGGCATCTTTGTTAGTTTTAAAAATAATATTAAAGAGTTTAGTAAGCCAAGAAACTCTCAAATCTCTTATATATTCCCACATTTCAATTGGGATATCATCAGGTCCCACAGATTTTTCACCTTTCGTTTTATTTAAAGCCTTTTGCAATTTTTTTTTACTAATGCAATGATAAAAGTAAAACATTTTAATATTATTAACGATACTCAGATTACTAAAGTCGATCTTATTTTCAGAAACTTCATTAAAAAGTTTGTCAAAATAGTTCACCCACCTATGTTGAATATCTTTTTTCTAAGAACAATACCCTTTGATTTTCATCTTTAATACACTTTACTTGAGTTAAATTTTTTACTTTTATTTTTGTTTGACTAGTTTATAAATATATTTTTCACTCTCTTTTGTATCTAATATATTATAAATATCACTAAAAGAAATTTTTTTAGCGTAACATATTGTTCTCTTAGACTCCCTCAAGGCAATTTTTTATTTTTTCCAGTTATCTAAGCTTTTTACATTTAAACCAATTTTTATAACATAATTTATCATATTTTATATTTTCTTACACATTTGTATTCTACCACCAACTATTTTTATTTATAGAAATTTTTTCTTTTGATTATCCAAGTACATATTTTTTCGTTTGTTTAATAGTGTTTGTTATTTTATCTCACATAGAATTTATTTTTTCATGAACATCCTAAATCTTGAATAATTTTTACAACATTATCTTCAAATCTAGGGTATAACAGAATACTTAAACAATGAAACTCACCAACTTTTAAGGAAAAAACTTATTTATTTTATTTAGATAAAATATAACACTATTAAAGTACGTCATTAAAAAATACTTACCATTACTAAATTCTTTTCTAAATTTTGAGATAATTTATTAAATATTAAATTTTTGTTATGAATAGTTTATAGTGCAGCTAAATCTATCATTCTCAAAGATAAAAGTCTCGCAGCCAAATAAATTTTTGCTTCTTTGGCAAGCATAACTCTCAATTTTTTGTTTTGAGGTTGAATATATTAAGTAACAAATTTTCTTTCTGATTTTCTAACTAGTAAGCTCTTATAGGGCAGACGAAGGATGTATCACCCCTAGATGAAGGAATTTGTGAACCCTCCTAACTGTTCTAGAGGAGGATACTTTTTTCATCCTCAAGACAGAGGAGGGGATTCATCTTTTTTCCCGAATGATTAGGTTACCACTTGTTTTTATGGTCACATAAACAAAAATCAACAGAAAAATATTCATCTATTCAGACTACATAAAATAATTCAAGAAAATAAAAATATTTTAAAAAAATTCTTAAAGCAAAGTTGAATATTTGTATGAAAATTGCTATTAAACTTATTGTTAATCAATGGTGAAAATTATCATATTACATTCACGTGGACAATCTTAGAAATTTATATAAAAAATATTTCATTTTCACAAGAATTAATCTATGATAAAAATATTTTTTAAACAATCTTAATCCCATTAAAGTGTATTGAAATTCAGCATAAGCTACAATGAGTTGAGTATATCAACAATGCTGCTATCCATAAAATCTTTCATCATAAACAATGAGGTCTTGCGCCCTTTCAGATCAAGACTATTGATTATAAAGCTCCAGAATCAAATTATCAATAAATAATCTTTTTTTAATTACTGGATTTATATAAAAGCAATGATCAATTTTTTTTATGTTCTGAATCCAACACAAAATATCCTGTTTGCTTTACAAATAATGGGATATTTTTGATGCAATCACACAAATCTTTCTATCTATAATCAAAGAAAAATATTCAGAATGGGCTGAAGTTTTTACTCACATTGTCAAAACCTCATTGGAATTTCTTGTCGAAAAAGTCATAATTTTTATTTTTTATCCAATGTCAAATACCTTGGCTTTGATTTTTTAATCTTAAAATTCAGCGAGACTCATTAAATCATAAGCGCTTATTTAGAAATTTTCTTTTCTATTAAATTATGGATGACCATTAAAATCAGACAATCTTAAATCCATTGATAGGTCATTAATTCCAATAAAGAGTTCATTTATAAAACATATTGGAAAGAAGATCTCTCTCTGAATTATCGACGAAATTTCTTAATGATCCTCAAGTAAAGATTGAAAATGTTGCTTCCAGTTCTTTTTTCATGAGGTAAAAAAGAAAAAAATGTTCAGTAAGAAGGAGCTTTACAAGTCAGCAATGACATTTTAGATAATTGGGTAGAGTTTCAAAAATAATTGTCAATTAGGATCATGATTGCAACTGGTATTTATTCAATTCCAATCAAGAAAAAAATTATTCTCAAGCTATTTGATGAAGTGGACCCTACTACTATTTATCCTTAACAACGATGACCACGACGACAACAACGACAACCGCAAGCCTTTATCTTACTAAGTGCAATAAATATTAAGTACACAGAATAAAAAAAATTAATCTTACAGTTATCCTGCACCAATTATTAATATATAAATTCACTTTTTTATATAAAATCCAATTAGTCATGCTTTTTGTGATTATGTGAAATTTATGTATTATAAGACGTTTTGAAATATGTTCCTAGAATTATCTATTTAAGCAAGTCCTTTGTCAGCTTCTGCGCTAAAAATTTTTTAGTCTGTAATCTCTGTATTCTTGTAAAACTTTGATTTTTTTATATGCAATTCTTCTACTTATATTAAGCTCCTTTTATATTTTCATATTATGTTTACACATATATATATATATATATATATACACACACAGAGAGAGAGAGAGAGAGAGAGAACAACATTAACAAGGATTGATCCCACTAAGTTGAGTCGGCTACATGAATCCTTTTTCTCCATTATCCTATAGAGTGTCATATTTTCATTTAATTCTAATAGATTAAGATCATTGTTTATATAATATGCCAAGTCTTTTTAGGTCTACCTCTGTCTTTCTTAACATAAGCTGAATCTAAAATATCTACTCTCCTAACCTGATCATCTGATGGTCATCGTTTAATGGGACCAAACCATCTAAGATGACTCTCTCAAATCTTTTCTGCAAATGGAGCTACACCAAAGATTTCACGGATAGATTCGTTTCACATTTTGTCTCTAAGTGTCAAGTCATTTATCCACCTAAGCATTCTTATCTCTGCTACACTGAACTTTGTTATGCTTCTCTTGTAATGGCCAACATTCGCCATAAAGCATTGTTGTTCTCACCACCATCTTATAAAATTTTTCTTTTAAGCATAAGCGGTACTTTTCTATCACACAATAGGCCCAATGCATTCCTCCACTTCAACCAACTTGAATTCTACTAATTACATCCTCATTTACATCACCATCACTTTGAATAATATACCCGAGATATATAAAACGATCACACATTTTAATGATTTGATCACCCATAGTTACAACTCTGCCACTAGAGCTATCACTACTAAAATAACATTCCATGAATTCAGCTTTAAATCTACTCAAACGAAGGTCTTTAGACTCCAATGTAAACCTCTATAATTCAAGCTTTTCTTGAACTCCTCTAGTCTTATTCACAAGAAGTATTTCATCAACAATAAGCATACACCAAGGTGCATCCTTCTGTATATGTACAGTAAGAGAGAGCACGAGAGAATAAAAAAACTAATTAAAAAAAAAAATTGATTCAAGATGGTTTGATTAAAATTGGAGCTCAGGCAGCTTGAAATCGAATTTTTTTAAGCCATGAGCCAACTTTGACCTCTGCTTGATCTTACTTCGACCGAGGACCATATGAGCTTGAAATGAAAACATCCACAGTACTATTTTAAAGCTCCTCTACTAACAGTTTGTTAAACCTTCCAATTATGTTGATCTATTTTATTTTTATTTTTATTTTTATTTTTATTTGTTATATTTTGCTTTTAAGATATTCATATTTCCAATCACAAATTGTAGATTTGGAAGATGCGAACTGGACCTCGGCTGCTTACTGTGCCATGCCCCAAAGGAAGCATAATTCTGCAATCCTCATCCAGGTCTGTAGCATCAAATTCATCTTCCTACAATCCTCTTGAGGCTTTCTTGCTGAACGGAGATTCAGGACAGTTATCAGTATTGAACACATCAATTGGTTAACTAACCAAAATCTTAGACCTTTTGATTTAAAATTAATAAATAAATCTGCTAAGCTTTTGCTTATTTTCATAATGCTTATAGCAGAAAATTTGACTTGCTTGCTTGCCTTTCCCTTTTCTAGCGCCGGTGGTGTTGGTAGTGTAAATGTGTCATCATATTTCTGCAGTAATACTTCATTTATTTACTAGTAATTTCTCATCTTATCTGCATTTCCGTTGAGTGGAAAAAATTTCAGTTCCCTACATGAATATTGCATTTATATTACATAATTATTTAATTTTTTTTTGCCTTGGAAATAATCATAATATTTATAATTATTTTAAAATTATACATTTGAAGTATGCAGTCAATAAAAATTTCCTTTTTCTGAAAATTGATTAGACTAAACTAGTATATTATAATCATAAAATAATTACATTCATATATTTATTTTATCAACATATTGTAAATATTTATGTACATGTTGATATATTATGATTTTTGTTGGCTTTCGCTAAAATGTTTAATTCGACAAACTTATTAATTTTTAGAAACTTTAATTGTGTTTACAAACCTGCTTGAACATAATAGCTTAAAAATTTGTTTCTTTATAAAAATGATACCAACAACTAATATAAACAACTAATTTTACAGCTACAGTCAGTCTGATAAGCCCTTGAAACTTTACTTTCATGAATTATGTAATCAACTTAATATTTAAATGAAGAAAATATGAAGGTGTTTGCATGCATGCCACCCAATTACCATGTACATACAAATAGTGACATCTAGAGTTTCTTCTTTCTATTTGTCACCTATATCACATTAAAAATATCATCATGTGAAATATTCATTTTCATGCATAGATAAAATAATATGTACATAAAAATTGAAGTTTGCGTGCTGATAATGAAAATTGATAGGAATTTAGTAATTTGTATGTAAATCTTCTAAATATGAAATATATAAAATAGTAACGATAAGAGTAGTCGTTTAGAGATTTAATTTGTTGAAATTATATTCTTAAAAATATATTATAATAATTGGGGTATAAAATTATGCCATCAAAATTTAAAAATATTATTTAAATATTATTTTCTTTATTTTTTTTTTAGAGAGCATAATAAACAATTGGGATAATTACATACACACCACACAATCCCAATGTATTTATAGATGTAAGACCAAAACTTCAATTTTTACATACACACACCACCTTTACCTATGCATGAGAATGTATTTCGTGATAATTTTGTCATAGGAAAGATTTGCTTGATATAAATACAAAAAATAAAACTTAAAAGTGGTATATATACAAATATATAAACATTTAGGTGGTATGAAAGTAAACGCCCCAACCTTGTTTAAAGATAACCGAAGGCCTCCTTCAGACAAAACCAAATTCAAAACAGATTTCAAAAGTGAGTTAAAGTCATTCAAATCAATTTTATAGGGTTTCGAATTTAATAAACTCAATTTGTGGACAGGCAATTCACAGTAGAATCAATTTCAAAGGACATTGACAAACTAATAAACATTAACTCGGAAGTCAAAAAACTCAAAAGTCATTCTAACTCGCAGAAAATAAATCAATTTGTTCCAAAATGCTGCTGTTCCGTAGAAATAAGTGGCATTGCCAAAATACTTTGAACCGTTGGTGCATCTAAAATGGTGGGAATGATAGGAATATATAAATCAAAATCTATGCTGTTTCTCTAATATAAATCGAGGGCTGTATTCATTTCTAAATTATTATAAGCAATAATATCATTATTCCTTAAAAGTTATAACTGCTCAGAAAATTGCATCTCTTAATTCTCTCTGCATTACGTGAAATATTTGTGTACGTAATACGCACGCAGAGTTGCGTGTGTAATAACCCAGCAATAACCTCTATTTTGCGTTTATTAGGGGGTTATTGAGAGGTTATTGAGGTATTAATTCCAATAACCTTCGCGGGTTCTATTTCAACGTTATTTATAGGTTATTATAAGAGTATTGCGGGGTAATGGAGTACGCACGCAGAGTTATGTGCGTATTACGTAAGCAAATATTTCCCCTGAATTACAGAGTAAGAAAACATATCACGCTCCATAAAATTAATTTGATTAAACTCAAAATCAATCTCTTTCAACACCAATAAAAAATTAGAAACCTTGATGCCCAGTAACTTGAAATAACCCAAAGGCGAGCACAACATTTGAAGCTATATTGAGATAATTATACTAATCAATCGATATATGGTACAGTTAACAGAATAAAATATCAGAGGTTCCAATATCTAAAATACAATTATGAAACTGTTATAAAATATATATATTCCATTGGAAGAATTCACAAAAAGTAGCCCATAAGATCTGCAAAATTACATAGTACTAATAAATATAACGGAGCATCTATAAAGCAGAATACTGCCTAGTACTGCAGTGGTGGTTTCTGGGTGGGAAGCAAACCAAATCGTTTCTTGAGAAGAACGCGCTGCCTAGAGTACTTGTCATCTGGGGAGAAGCGCGCTGCAATCAACAATAAAAACTCTTGAGCTATATATATTGAAGGCCATATGAGATGAACATTGAGTTAAGAGTCATTAAAGATGTGCCATTTGTTTCCTTGAAGTTTCTTAATTGAAACAAAAGGATGCCAAACGATTAAAGAAAAAGCAGTTTGATACTAATATAAGAAAAGAGGACATTTCATGGGAGCATATAAATTATAATAAAAGATAAGGAAGAGGGGAATTGAACAAAGGCTTTAAAGGCTGTTATAACAAAGGTTGCATACACAATATGCAATGTCAAAGAGTTCAAAATTAATAAGAGGAAGACAATATTACTGAAAGATCAAGGATTAAGGAGTGATCAGTTTACAATCTTACATCAATTGTATTGAAGAATATGAATATAATAAAAATAAAAAAATAAAAGTGTAGGGGAGTACTAAATAATAAATGAATATCATTGGGGATTAAATATAAATTTATAAAGCTCGAATAAAATGTTCAATGTTGCACGGATACAAGTACTGAGTGAATAAAAAATCAATAACCAAGTTGAATAAAATTCAATAATAACCAATTTTGAGTGTGACGGAAATAAAAACATAAAGATGGATATCTAACAATAAAGACAATGGGAAAATAACTATTCAAAGAAACTCTGGGGGTGGCACATGCCTGCTATTGAAATAAGGTCAAAAGAAATAAACTTGGTTGATTAGCGCACACAATATGGATGGTAGAAGTTGTAATAGAAATAAGGGAGATGAACTAAAAGTGAAAAAAATAAAAGAAAAGAATAAACGACCAAGTTACACATCTAAAAATTATTAAGAAATAGTTGTGCAAACTAAATTTAACACTAAATAATAGTGAATTAAAAATTAGATTATAAAATTAAAAAAAAACTTGCAAGAAGACTAATGATGAAAGAAATGAATGTTCCATGTATTTTTTTATATTTGATCAGACACATCAGTTGATGAAATAGTCAACGATGATCACAAACAGCTTCAAATTTTACTACAATTTAAGATCAACGCATTAAAAAACAATTTCCCTTGAATTTGCCCAACAAAATGAATTAATTGCAAAAAAATTGAAGTTCTAGTCCAGAAATAAGTAAAATTTTAAAGAAATTAGAGATTTTCTTAACAGCTACTGCACTTCCAAACTAGGTATATGTTTTACAAAAGTCTTGAACATTTAGCATTTCAAGTAATTTAAATATCATCCAAGCCATAAAAACTTCTTTCTTGATAACCACTTAACCTTTATAAGTATATAAATGACACCCACCAATTATGTTTATCCTATCAAACAGAAAACCAAAACTAAACATAAGAGATAGGCAATCCAAACAATATTACTTTAGGGGAAAGATAATCAACAAAAAAAATGATTTAGGTAGAAAGATTAAGGACGTAAGATGAATTATGTAAACCTACTAATAATTCAGGTGCAGCATAACCAAACAAACTCTGGAAAAGTTTGGTAAATCTGGTGAATGCAGACACGGATTCTCTTGGACTAAAACAATTTGAAAATAATTCTCTGCAACCTAATTTTAAAAGAAAAACACAGTTTTACATGGATGAAGGAAATTACAGTGCAGGTGGCGAAGAAATAGATGAGAGCTATGAGATTTTGTTCATGCATGCATCAATTGGAACCAGCTATTTTAACCTAAATAGACCAACAAAGAAATGTTGCAACATCATTACAAAAGGGAAATCCTAATTTATAATGTGCGTATTGATGCACAGAGACTCCCCGCCATAAGGTGCAAGAGATTTATGCATATAATCAACAATAATAAAGAGCAACAAAAGGTTAAAAATATATGCATGATACACATAATAAAGTAAACAAGTACAAGGACCAAGAATCAACATCGAAGTTTGCAAACTAAGAATCAACATCAAAAGTCTGAAAACTAGAAAAAGGAAAAATGGTAAGTCAAATCTAACATGTTTAGAAGTTGTTGAAAATGGTGCAAAATAAATATAAATCCAAAATCAAATACTAATCAAATTAGATACAACAACAACAACAGGCCTTCATCTCACTAAGCTACATGAATCTTTTTTCTCCATTGTGTCCTATTGAGTGTCATATTTTCATTTAATTCTAACAAATTAAGATCATTTTTTAGTACTATCTCTACTTTTTTTTAGCACAAGTCAAATCTAAAACATCTACTTTTCTAACAATGTCATCATATGGTCAACATTTAATGTGACCAAATCATTTAAGGCGACTCTCTCTCATATTGCCTGCAACTAGAGCTACTCCAACCCTTTCACAGATATATTCTTTTCGCATTTTGTCTCTTAGTGTAAAACCATTTACTCACCTGAGCATTCTCATTTTAGTAACACTTAACTTAGTTTTAAGCTTCTCTTTTATAGGCCAACATTCTACGCTATAAAGCTTTTAAGTCTCACCACCATCTTATAAAATTTTCTTTTAAGTCTAAATGTGCTTCTTTATCACATAATAGACCGGATGCATTCTTCCACTTCAATCACCCACCTTGATTTCTACTAATAACATCCACATCTATATCACCATCACTTTGAACAAAAGACCCCGAAGTTTATGTTGCACCGACACTTCTAAAAATGTGACGAACCCGTGTCAGACATGTGTCAAACACCGACGCGCGTTGACATTCTCAGACACATCTCCAACACTACAAAATATATGTCTAATCATTTTTTTAGGCTTGAACACGTCTAGAACACATCTCAACACCACATCGGACGTGAGCTTAACACAATTTCGAGAAAATGAGACACGAGAATTAGAAAATTATAAATATACGTACAACCTTATCTATACCTCAATCAAAATCACCTCATCTCTCGTCATGTTGAAGCTCCATCTACCATTCGTAAAAATTGAGCATCGAAGGTGCATCCAATATTCGTCAAAGACGAGCATTAGTAATTCCCTTTATGTAATCATAGGATTTTTTAAATTTTAGTAGATAAATTGGATTATAAATTGAATGAATTCTTTAGAAATATAATATATCTAATTTTAAAAATTCATTTTCATAAGCATGAGATTTTATAATATAAATTAAATTTATGAAGTTTAATTTTATGCTTACATAATTTGTGTTGTCATTTTTTTAATAAATAATAATAGAAAAATATATATTTCATATTAATAATTAATTAAAAATAATAACTTGTCCATGACATATCATGTCCTATTTTTTTCATATTTGTCGTGTCCCGCATTGTGTCGTGTTTGTTTCCCTATGTCTATGTCTGTGTTTCATAGCCTGAAAAATTTAAAATGTTCACTCCTTTTAATGGCTTGATTACTCATTATTACAACTCTGCCACTGGATCAATTATTTATAAAATTATATTCCATATATTTAGTTTTAGATCTAATTAAACAAAAGCCTTTAGATTTTAAATTTGACTTCCATAATTCAAGTTTTTCTTGAACTCTCTCTCAGGTCTTATCCTTAAGAAGAATATCATCAGCAAAAAACATAAACTAAGGCACATCCTCCTATAAATGTCCAGTAAGAACATCCATAACTAAAGCAAAAAAGATATGGGCTTAAAGCTAATCCCTGATGTAATCCAACTAAAGTAAGAAAATACTTAGACAATTATCCTTATGTTTGAACACAAGTAACAGCTCTAGTATACATATCTTTAATGACTGGAATATAAGCAATATCAATAGATTTCTTTTCTGGAACTCTTCAAAGTGCTTCTCTTGATATTTTATTATAAGTTTTTCCTAAATCAACAAAAATCATATGTAGATCCTCATCATTCTCTATACTTTTTCATCAAATCACTCAATCTATACTTTTTCATCAAATCACTCAATAAATGTATAACTTCCATAGTAGATTTGCCCGACATGAATCTAAACTGATTTGAGAAATTTTTATATGACATCATAACCTATAATCAAGTACCCTCTCCCATAACTATATAATACATATAAGAAAATACTTGGTCAATCCTCCTTATGTTCGAACAAAAGAAACAACTCTAGTATACATATCTTAATGAATCAAATATAAGTAATATCAACACATTTCTTTCTGAAACTCTCCAAAGTACTTCTCTTAAAACTTTATAATAAGCTTTTTTCTCAATCAACAAAAATCATATGTAGATCCTTCTTATTCTCTATGTTTTTTCATCAAATCTCTCAATAAATGTATAGCTTCAATAGTAAACTTGCCCGACCTAAATCTAAACTGATTTTGAGAAATTTTTATATAATGTATGACACATTAACTTAACTCATTTATAATTTGCAGAATGTGCATTCTCTTTATTCTTAAAAATATAAACCAACAGACTCTTTCTCCACTAATCATCATTCTAATTTTTAAAATAATACTAAAAATTTTAATAAGCAAAAAAATTCTCAAATCTCCTAAATATTTCCACTTCTATTAGAATACAATTAAGTTCTACTATTTTTTCACACTTTATTTTCTTTAAATTCTTCTCAACTTATATTTTACTAATGCGACGATAGAAAAAAAACTTTGTTATTATTTATGATATTAAGAACACTAAAATCAATCGTATTTTCACAATCTTCATTGAAATATTTAAAAAATATCTCGCCCATATATGTTGAATATCCTAATCAAAAACAAATATTTTTTTTTTTAATTTTTGTCTTTAATACACTTTACTTGAGTTAAACCTTTAATTTTCTTATCTCTTTGTTTGGTTAGTTTATAAATATATTTTTCATCCTATTTAGTATCTAATTAATTATAAAAATAATTAAAAACAGAATTGTTAGTATCACAAATTGTTCTCTTAGACTCCCTGTGGGCTACCTTATATTTTTTCAAATTCTTCAAGATTTTATATTCAAATCAATTTTTATTTAATAAAAATTACTTTTTATCTTTTTTTGCACATTTTCATAACACAACCAACTATTTTTATTCATAAAATTTTCTTTTGATTCTCCAAACATATATATGCAACTTGTTTAATAGAAGTCATTAATTTATCCCAGATAGTATTAGCTTCTTCATGAACACCCCAAATCTTAAAATTTTGAAGCTTACTCATAAAAATAACTTTATTTGTGTCTTTTATTTGTCTTCATCTAATTCTCTGATAATATTTCATTGTATTTTTCATCTTTAAATCCTTCAACTTAATATCCAAAATCAATTATTGATGTTGGTTACTTAAATTTTCACTTGAAATGCCTTACAATCCTTAAAATCTCAACGATTTATTTTCTCATTAAAAAATAATTAATTTATGTTTTATTAAAACTATTCTTATAAGTGATAATATGCTTATCTTTTTTTTAAATAAATTATTAGCAATAATATTTTTTTTTGCTACAAAAAAGGTTAAATAAGCAAATCATAAATAATTAAGGCTACGACGACAACATATAATGTGGAACACACATGCACCTTTGAAAAAGGGTTATGTGTTTCATTCAGGTCAGCATTTTAAAAAAATCAATATATAAAGTGTTCAATATTAGTTTTTAATTTCAAATATGCTCTTCCCTGATAAGATTATTAGGAATCAACTCAACACCTAAAATGTCATTCATATGCAGTAGGTGATCGGAGTTCTTCCAATATACAATAGCTCATCGCTTTTGCCAAGTACATTGTCACTTCTAGGCCCCTACTGCTTGGAAAATAGAAGTGTTCCATTAAGAAGCCAAGCAATGCGCTTTGCAAGCAATTCCTCCTCTCATTACTTTAAAGAGATTGTAAATATGTTTACATCAAGGAAATTTCAAAACCAAATTTTCTCTTTTCAAATCTTTGAGAGCCAATGTTGTACTCATAAGTAAAAATTTGTACGAGAAATTAGCATCATAATCCAAAATTCTGCTAGGTGTGTCTTCATAAATGAAGAATCTAGGATTTTTTACTTGAATGTATCTTATTTTTGCCAGTTTGTGGACGAAATAATCTCATGTTCTCAGCATGTTAGGTATTATAATCTAGTTCTTTGGCAAGCAACTAGAACTTTGATCATTTTTTCCATATTCATCGGAAGAAAATCAGAGGTTTAGTGGCTTTAAAATAAATAAGGGCAAGCTTCTGTGTTATAAGGCAAGAAGGGAATTTTTGAAAAGTTAAATAATAAATATTCAACTAATGATCACAAGCTTGATCACATAAATGGACGTAACCTCTAATTTTAATGGACGAAAGATGGTAGGCGCCAGTTTGACAATTGGGAACTAACCTGGAAGACGTAAGTGGAAAACCATTACAGGGGCTTTAAAAAGCACAGATCACAGCGAAACATGCATTATACCTTGGAAAATTAGAAATAACTTACCCAAAAATAAATAAACACTAAAACTATTTAGTGACGTGTTCTATAAAGAACTATATCCAAGAAGGTGTGTACAACAATGTAGTACAAAAAATGCAAATTAACAAGCACAAGTTGTTCAAGCTATATCCTATGACACGCCCTAAATGAAACCATGCAGATATGCACACGGATGCAGAATGCTAAATTTAATGCAATATAGATGCTATGGGACAAGCAAATTTGATTAATCTTTAGCCTACGATCCTGAAATAATATCAATATAATATATATTACTTGTAATACAATTAAACAGATATACTTTTAAAAGTCTAGAACCAGTTATCAAACTAAATGTTAGGAATGCAAAGTGAAGAAGAAAAGGCAAGGACGGGGAATGATCCAAATATACCTGGATGAGCAGATTCTGTTGCTATACCAAGTGGCGATTCTTTCTGCAGAAAGAAAATCATCTGGCATCAAAATGAGTTTGAAAAATTCTTTTGAAGAAAACGTTGAATCAAAAGAAAACAGTGAATGCTACATTATTTCTGCAATTTAAAGTGCTGCATAAAAATAACTCAGTCAACATAATCAGAAGAAAAAAACTTTTTTTCTAAAATTCATTTTGTAACACTTAACGCTTTTATGGTAAAAGACTATATAAAACAAAAGATAATAATGTTGATTAAGAATACCCATTCGTTCATGAAAAGAACAATCAAGGTTTAAAACACATTTATTAATTACCTTGGTGGTGTAGACCTTGTCCCCGTTATCATTGATGTAAAACTGAAGATACATGGCTATCAAAGTCAAACTAGTGACCTGAAATTTCAAGGCCAACTGAGTTAAATACAGACTGACATATTCAAAATCATAAGTTAATGCATTGGTAAGAAAGCATAATAAGCATAAAACAACAACTACATCCTCTATGCCTTAAAAGAAACCTGCTTAGCCGGGGGTACAAGATTTTGAAGCAATAAAGATGAGCGGAAGATTCTATTTTTAATAAACAGGCGTCGAACAGTAATAGAGAACTGGAATAGAAATGGCGGATGAAACCCTAAATAAAATTTGCTAGACTATGGCTTGAAACAGAAAGTAGAGACGGAAATGCTGCTTGAGGAGAGAGATTAAACGTAGGGCAGGAAGGGAGGCCAATGGGAGGATCCCATAAGAAAGAAAAGATCTGATGCAGATGAGATGAAAGTTGAAGTTGATGAATGAAAAGCATAGAGAAAATACCTCGAGGTAAGTTGAGAGGCTTGTGAACTACTTGCGGCGGCAGCTGGCGAGGATGGGAAGCGCAGACCCGAACGAGGAAGACGGCTTACGTTCTCATCAATCGCATGTATGCCCTAAATCAACCAATGCACACGATGGACAACTCAGAATTAGACTCGATTATTCAAAAACTCCAATTTTAAATTGGTTAAATATGAATATAATCGGACCTGAACATTTAGGTTCATCAGCAAATTAAATATTCGATATAAAATTTAAATATAATTTGTATCATAATATGATATATTATTTAAATAAAATTTAACTGGTTAAAATTGATTTAATTATAAATTTAATAATAATATATTATTATATCAATAATATATTTTTAAGATTAAGTTTAATTATATTTTTATTTTATTATTAATTATTAATTATTTGAAATTTAATATGATGGAATTCTAAAAGTGAAAATCTCTTTTGTTTATTCTATTTTATTATTTTTGGTCTATCATTGATTTTTATCAATTGTTTTTAACAATTGATGAATAATTTCACATTTTGAGTTAATTCGTAATATTAGTTCATTTAATTTTTTTTAGCTCTAATTTCAATATTTTTTTCTCTATATTAGAATTTATTCTTGTCAGAATATATCTATAATAGATACTAGATAACAACATGTAAGTTAGTTTATTTACTCATATCATATACAAGTTATATGATTTATTTAAATGTTTATTTATTTAGATTTATAAAATTTATATTTTTTTATTTGAAAATTTTGGTGCTTGCTTGAATTTCTTTTATTAGCTAGTTTAAATACTTGTTCGTTTGTCATAAACTAATCAGGTACAAATCAATTTCAAATATTAAAAATTTTAAACAAGTCTAAACTTGAATAATATGTCAAAGCTTAAGGCAAACTCAAGTCGAACATGAACAACTTATAATTTTATCAAGCCAGCTCCAAACTATGATATACTCAGCTCGTCTTAGCTCAGCTCTATTACAGCCCTAACCACATATTCTCTAATCATATATTCACATAGTACAAATTTTGAGGTTTCATACATACTATATAACATATAATTCATATATATTTACATACTTGGCATGCCAATATTTATTTCAATGCAACTTTAATGTTTAGATATTAAAAATAGGGGCATTTACAGGCATGCTACGAAATTCTTTATTATTTGCATATCTGACACTTAAAGTTGCCTTTTTACGTGCCTACACTTAAAATTAGGCAATATCTAAAAATACCACATTAAGCGATGTAACCCTAACCGAAACTCAGCTTCGTCATCGAGCTCGCTGGTCTTGATACACTCATGAATCCCTTCCTCGCCAAAAATAAGCTCAACGGTTTCCTATGTTTCTGAATCTTTGATGCAGCAGGCAACCAATTCTTGAGATTTTCAAAGCCTATGACAATTATTTCACCACACTGCTCCCGCTTAGCGTAACCAATTTGCAAAGGCTTCCATATGTCGTTCTCGGGAAAAACTTCTTTTATAGACAGATTCATGCAATGGAGTTGGTTTTGCTTACCTGCAAAGATCTCCGAGGAAGTACTCGGTGAGCTCAGAAACCTAACAAAGCTAAATTATCTCTTCTCGTGTTATTTCAATTGAAGAAATTTTTAAAAGCCTATTAATGAAAATTTTTTTAAAAGAAAGAAATTTATGAAGGTGAGAACTAGCTCAAATGGTTGGTTGCGGCTCTTTACCCTTTGAATCTTGTTGATGTCTTCTGATCCCACTTAAGAGAGGGTCCTTATGGAGCACAACCACTGGTCTGTGCTAGATGACCAATATATTTATCAATTAATGGGCTTCTCATTTTCAGTTCTCTGAGAATGCACAGAATGACTAGAGGTTGAGGAAAAATAGGCCATGGCCAAGGAGAGGATCAAGGCAGCCGAAGAATGGGCGATGACAAACAAAGCCAAGGAACTCCAGTAATTACAACAAAACTAAGTCATGTTGGAGAAGATAGCTATACTGAAGACTTCTAATGACTTTTTTGTTGAGCTCTCCTCCTACCCGCGTCAGGTAAAATTTCTTGCATTCAAGCTTAAAAAAAGGGTAGTCTATGGTGCCAACCAAATGGTGAAGACAAAATTTGTCTCCTTTTAGAGGACTGGCATAGATAAGTTTGCCACCGAACTTTTGAACTTGGAGGAGGCAAGGAAAGAAGAGAGCGGTGAAGATGATGAAGGGTAGTCAAATGTATGACTCATTTTTTACTTCATTTGTAACTTAAAAAGGTTCCTTCTTTTCTCTTTATTGAAAGCTTGCACATAAATGTTAGGAAATTATATAAATTTTTTAATCATGAATGAAAATAAAAGCTTTGAAGGATGAGGGCGTGAATGAGCAGAAATTGGTACCAACTAAAACCCAGCCCTTATGAATAATTCATCTAAAGCTATCTGAGATTCACATTTGTTAATGGGATCGTCTGCTATACTTCGATTGGATCACTTGGAGGACCGTTTACTATCCTTACTTGTGGGTAATTTGTGAGGAATAGAGAGGTCTTTTCATCTATTGCTGAAAGACCAGCGTTGGGAATGCTTCTGCGTAAGTGAAAGCGGAAGCATCAAAGATGCAAGATCAGATCATAGATTTGGAGGAAGACATTGTGGAGCTAAAGGATCATATTGCTTCATTGAAAAAACAAGTGGAGGTCAATTCATATGCGGCTCTCAGGATACACTGAGACCTGGTTGAAGTGAGAGCTAGTCTACGACTGAAACATCTTAATGATGATTCATTTGTTTTTTACGGGGATGTTTACTAGAAAGACTTTTCTGATCAGACTACATCACTCCAAAAGACATTATAAAAATTATCATGTTCTTTTTTAGTTGTGATTCATAATTATTTGTATTTTTATTATTTCTTGGCTAGTAAGCCTGACTAGATTTATAAAAAATGAGAGCATTTTTCTTTGTGTGCTTGTCATACCTTTGTTTTTTATTTGTTTTATTTTAAATACCTATGCCGAGCTTATGGCGAAGATGATTTGATTGGCCAAAAGCAATATGTTTTGGGTTGCTTTGCAAATTTTATTAGTAAATTGTTGTATGATTATAGAGGGATTATGATTTCTACATGTTCGAATCTTATACTTTCCATGTCTCGGTCATCAGTTAGGTCATCGCCTTGGACAGACCAAACCTTACGTCAAGTAAATTAAATGGATCTTGTTGCAGCCTTAGCGAAGGTAACCGTCAAGACTTATTGTAGGGGTGATTTGTATGATGTTCACATAGATCTTGTGACCAATGGGTAGAGAATCACTTCAAGAACTTGACCCATTTCAAGCCAGGAGTCAAAATTTTTATTGATGCATGAGCATTATGGGTCAGTTCTTATTTGATTTAGTAATCAGACATTTGTTCATTGTTGTTAGTTATTTTTAAATGTTTATTTGCTGATCGGACATTATCCTTCACTATCGATTTTTTCGCTTGAATGGAAATATTAACGATAGTTTGGTTCGGGTATCCTAAGTGTTAGTTGAATTTTGATTATCCATTGTATGAACTTCTTAGGTTCCTCGAGTGTTGGTCAAACCTGATATCTTATATAAAATTATAAAAATCTTACTTAATTATTTTATATAATTAATAATAAAATATAAGGGTTGGAACGATAATACAAAAAATTTCCTTAAGGGTAAAATGTCTTCAAGTCATCTCCTCTCCACCGCCGAGAAACTCATTTTCTTTTGTAGGTTTTTCGTTTATATGCTCCAACTCTAGTGGCAACCTATTTGTTGATAATTAATGACCATTCTATGTCTAATCGAGCTTTTATGTAATTTGTCTTCACACCATTGGGTTTTTTTTTTCAACATGAGGTCCTCGGAGTTGAAAGTATTCTCTATGATGTGTTTGTTCTAGTATTGAGTTGTCTATCTCTTCACATCTTCATGCTGAAGGGCTGAATCAGCTCGTTTCTCCTTAGCAAGATTGAGCATAAGTAGTATCCCCTCATTATTTATTTATTGTCACTTGGAAATCTACTTTATCGAACACTAAACCTATCACCATTCTTTGCCCACGATAGTTATATTTAACCGACAATATTACCTCCATCTAGTGTGATAACTTGAATGGAGTTTGTTCGATCACTGTGAAAAGTGTCGTTTGGATTGCCTAAAGAACAAATAAAAGAATCTCGACCTAATTCCCCTTAGCACCTTCAAATTTTTTGCAACATGCTTAGGACGAGCTTAGATGCTACTTCGGTTTGCCCATTTATTCAAGACTGATGAATGGACGTAAAATTCAAACTAATCCCCTGGCTTAAAAAAAAATCTTTTACCACATGGTTGAAAAATTGTGTTCCATTTTTTGTAATGTTTACAAGTGGTAGCCCATATTAACAAATCATATCAGTCGAGATGAAGTTTTGAATGAAATTTTTAGTGATTAAAGGATGTGTTTTAGTTTAAATCCACTTATAATGTAATATATATGAAAAAATAGAAATTTGCATTTGTCTTGTGATGGGGGAAAGGATCTGAGGATGTCAAGTCCCCAGATAATGAAAGGCCATGGGATGATGATGAGTTGTAGTTTGGCTGGTCCTGCAACGGCGCATATTTTTTATATTGCTCACATATTCTTTAGAATTCCTTAGCTTCTTTTAAAAGTGTCAACTAGAAATAAACTTATCATTGCACTCGGTGCGCCAAAATTTTTCTTCCAGAGTGATTCTTTCACTCCATCAAGTGTACCTCTAGGTGGACATCATTTGTCTCATCTTATTTTATATACCTCAAGTACAAAAATGTGATTGATCTTCAAAAAAGCTTTCCCTTTATTAAAATATATTTAACTATCTTAATTTTGTAGTGCTTTGGATAGTAATTTTATTTGAGACCATCTTGGTCTTAAGTTACAAGATGTAAGGATCCACCAAACTTTTTGGCCCTTCAATTTCCAACTCCCGTCTCTTTGGCTACCTTAATGGTCGACCAGACAAACTTTTAAGGAACCCCTTCCCCTAAGTGGATGCACTTAAATAGGAGGTCTTCCACTTGGTTGTTCACATGAGAGATGTGCTCAATCTTGAAACCTTGAACTTACCTATCTCTATTTTGATTTTGCTAAGGTATTTGGTCATCATTTTGTAAATAACATCAAATTATCCATTTACTTAATT